ATGGATCCATGGGGCATGCTTTGTTGAGATCGGTGTAGTCCACGCACATGCGGAAGGTAGGGGGCTTCTGTGCGAGGACTACATTCGCCAGCCATGAGGGATATTTCACCTCTTTGATGTGCTTAATGGAGAGGAGCATGGCGACCTCCTTCTTCACAAATTCCCTTCTCTCGGCGGAGAGGGGTCTTCTTCGTTGTTGCACTGCTTTTGCCGAGGGGTCCACCGAGAGGCGGTGGGTGATGACCCTTCGGCTAATTCCCGGCATGTCTTCCGGCCCCCATGCAAAGACAGTGGAGTAGGCGCGGAGGGCGTCGGTGATACCGGTCTTCAAATCTTCTGGGAGCTGGGCTCCAATCTTCACGACCCTCTCCGGCTGGGCCGGATCGAGCGCAAAGTCTTCTACGTCCTCGGCCGGTTCAGCCCTCGGCCTTCTTTCCTCTTGGTCGACGGTTCCGGTGATGGTGTCAACACGGAGTTCCGTCTTGCTTACCTTCTTAGTGACCTGAAGATAGCAGGCGCGGGCAATTTTCTGGTTCCCCCGGGAGTAGCCAATGCCCCCCTCGGCGGGAAACTTGAGGCAGAGATGCCTCATGGAGATGATGGCTTCGAGGTCCTCGAAGGCTGGCCGGCCGAGGATGATGTTGTGAGCGCAGTCAATGTTGACGACGACGAACTCCACTTCGAGCTGGGCTCTATGGATCCCGTCGCCGAAGATCACCGGGAGGGTTATTACCCCCTCGGAATCAATAGTATCGCCGGTGAAGCCGGCAAGAGGGGTCTTAATGGGCCGAAGGGACCCCCTCTCCAGATGCAGCTCTCTGAAGGTGCTGAGGTACATTACATTGACGGAGCTGCCCGTGTCAATGTAAGTTCGATGAATGATGGTGTCGTTGATCTCCGTCCGAATCACCAAGGCATCCCTGTGAGGAGAAGAAGTAGGAGGGAGGTCTGCGTTGGTGAAGGTGATGGGTTCCTCCCTCAATCGCTTTACCGGGGGCATATGAGTGACTTCCCCCACGTAGAGCGATTGAGCCCACTTCTTTCGTTGGCTGGTGGAATCGCCCCCTGTATTGCCATCGGTGATCATGAGGATGTGGCGTTTTTTCTCCTGGTAGTGGGGGTATTCCTCCTCCTCTTCTTCCAAGTTTCCAATCTCCCTTTTCTTGCCGAGGGGGATGGTATTCGGGTTTACCCAAGCGTTCACCTTCGTGTGATGCCCTCGGGGAGGCCCCTGGTGAGAAGGTCCCTCCTGCCGAGGGCTCTGGACAAATTGGGACAGGTGCCCTGCTTGTATTAACCTCTCGATAGCCGTCTTCAGCTGATGGCAGTCATCGGTCCTGTGCCCCTGGTGCCGATGGAAGCGACAGTAGGGGAACTGAGGGTTGATAGCGTGTACCTCCGGGGGTGTGCGAGAGTCACGCTCAACGAGGCCCCTCTCCTCGGCAAAATCGAGGATGATGCTGATGGGGTGCGTCAGTGGTGTCCGAGGGCGGTCCAGGAGAATGGGCTGGGCCCAAGTCTTAGGGCTGCTCTTATAACCTCCCCCGGGCTTGGCTTGGCCTTGCCGAGGGCGGTCATCAGAGGGTCCCGAAACCTTGGGGCGATTTGGAGGAGCCCCCGGCCCTCGGTTATGCTTGTTGTCAGCCCTCGGGGGCTGCTGGTCCGGGTGTTGGTGATACTTCTCCACCTCCTCGGCCTCAGCATACCGGTCCCCCCGCTGCAAGGCCCTTATGTAGTCGCGGGGGGGTTCAATGATGAGGCTCCTTGAAAAGTTGCCGGTGCGGAGGACGGTTTGTAGGAGGGCCAGGAGGGTCCCGTCATCAGCACCGTCGACCTTGTCGGCCTCCGTCCTCCAACGCTCCAGGAAATCCCGAAGGGTCTCATCCTTCTTCTGGCGTATTGTTAGGAGGTGGGAGAAGTGCTTCCTTGTGCGACGCCTCCCGGCGAATTGTGTCAAGAATCGTTGGGCGAGTTCTTGCCACGAGTCAATGCAGCCCTCGGGCAGCCTGTTGAACCATTCGTATGCTGGTCCCTCTAAGGTGGAGAGGAACCAACGACACAAATATTCGTCGGACGCCCCCACCATCATCATGTTGTTCTGGTACTTGCTGTAATGTTCCTGGGGGTCCGTTTTCCCGCTGTAGGGCTGTATGTGTTGCCCTCGGTATTTCTCTGGGATCCGGGCCGCCAATACCCTTGGGGTAAACGGCGTCCGAGTCCGGAGCTGGATGACGGGTTCCCCGGAGCCCTCAGCCACCTTCTTCTGTAACTCCTCCATTTTGGCCATCATGGCCTCGTATTTGAGATCTGAGTGAGGGGTGGAGGTGGTGGCGTGAGCTTTGTTGGACTCCATTTCGTCAAGCCGGCGCTGGAGGGCCGCAATAATCTCGTCCCGGGGGTCCCTCGGGAGGGTTTCCGCCCCCTGCGAACGAACTCGGGCCGAGTGGGCTTGGTTGATTTGGTGCCGAGCATCATCGGCATGAAGGGGTGCCTTGCCTTTGTCCCGAGGGGGACGCTCCTCGTCTGCCCTCAAAACAGATCCCCCGCTTTCCTGGGGCCTTTGGAGTGCTTTCCCCCCGAGGCGGTCTTGGACCCCTCGGCGGTCTGGCCCTCCTCCGAGCCGGTTGAGGGCGGAAGTACGGGGCCTCTCCCTGTTGTCATTATGGCGGTCCCGGGACTGAACTTCCTGGGAGGATGTTTCTTGGGCCACCACCCCTTCGTCGTTTCTCACTTGAGGGGTGGGATTTCCGAAGGGGTGTGGCAGAGGGGGAAGTATGATATTTTCCCCGATCTGAGGGTGAGCTGGAGCCAGGGTGCCGAAGGCACCCGGGTTCTGGGTGAGCGTTTGGATGAAGGCGGAGAGCGCCGATTGCACGTCGATGGTGAGAACCGGAGGGCTGACTTGGTCATCGCTCCGGTTTTTCTTCTTGGCCTCGATGCCGAGGCGGGCATCGGGGGCGTTTTGTTGGATCTGAAGGCGTAGGTCGACAGCCGCCTGTTCCAGCCCAGCGAGGACACCGCCCTCGGGAGCCCTGTGAGAGGCTTCGGGGGCGTTGACGTCGCCGAGGGCCAGGTTCTTGTCTTCTACGTTCTTTGAGTTGGCACGTGTTGTCCTCACCATTTTGATAGAGGGCTAGTGTTTGTGTTTGGTCGAGGGGGAGGGTTTCTTACTCGATTGTTCAACCTCTCAACGAGAGCACCAAATGATGGATAGTCTACCCGGGGGTATATATCCGAAGGGTTATTACGGGGAATAACTAGAGAGAAGTCAGAGCAAATAAGTAAGAGAGAGAGTGTATATTCGATATGTATTCAGCGTGGTTACAAATGGGGAAATGGGGTGCTATTTATAGTAGCAATAAATGCCGGGCAGGGACACGTGTCAAGCGCTCATTGGCCGAGGGGTCACCTCAACTGGTTGGCGCTGGCAGCCGCATGTGGCCGCATTTAATGCGGCTGTTGGACGGGACGTCTGTGCGGGGTACGGTGATCTGTACGCATGTGAGACAGATATCTTGTCGAGTGAGATGCCTCCGGCTATAGAGCAGTAGCCGAGGGCTCTTCCTCCCGATGGCACCCCTGGTGCCGAGGGCTCACAGTGCCGAGGGCTGCTGTTTTCACCGTTCTCTCCCAGTTTCTTAGTTTGCTTGAGAAACCCGTTCTGTGAGAATTTGGAGCCTTCGGCCAGGGGGCCGAAGGCACCCCTGTGCGTTGTGCGGACTGCTTGGTACTCCGGGCGCTGTGAATTGGGCCTGTTAGGCCTGTTGGGCCTTCGATGGAGTAGTAGGAGTCTGTGGGCCGGGGGTTCCCGGGCCATATACTCCATCACTACCATTTCTTGTAGACAGACAACTCTGTCTGCGTGAGACAGACGAATGTACAAAAAGTATACACAAAAATACGTAACACTTAGCAAACTCTTTCAAACCAACACTATAAAAAATGATCTAAAACATTCTCAAAATAGGTCACATTAGTCCCACACATGACACATCATCCACCGTAATTCGTCGTTCGTGTCACCTACCAAACAACTTAAATCGAAAGGAAGAGGTTAATCTTTTATTGATGGTATTTAGGATGTGACCACACTAAACATACTCCCTCCGGTTCTTATTAAAGTTCCCAGTTTGACTTCACACATATTAAGAAAATGAATTTGACTTTACTGTGGAGTGCACTGTTTGGCACTGTTTGGACACCGTTTGGCACTGTTTTGCATTGTTTTGTTTACTAAAATGGAAGTGTGAACTTAAATAAGGGACATCCCAAAAAAGAAAGTGGGAACTTTAATAAGAACGGGAGGGAGTATTTTAAATTTGTTAGCTAGAATGTTGTGCTGAGTAGTGTCTCTTCACAGAATAGTATGGTGATTCAACTCTCTATATATGGCCATGTATCTCCAATTTTCAGACCACACAATCGAAGAAAAGAAGATCGAATTGGCAACTAGCAAGCATGGTGTAGTGGCTGGATCCCTCTTCGATCTCAAGCGATCGTACCACGGTTTAAACTTTACCACGGTTTAAACATTTTTCATACTCCCTCCTCCCCAAAAACAACTTCCCACTTTTCTTAAATGGATGTCCCAAAATTAACTTCACACTTCTTCCCACTTCACAAATTATCTACATCAAAACAATGCTAAACAGTGTCCAAACAGTGTCAAACAGTGTCAAAACAGTAAAATTTACCCTCAGTAAATTTATTTTCTTAATATGTGTGGAAAACGAAGTGTGAAGTTGTTTTTGGAACGGAGGGAGTACATGTACATTTAGCTACATTCATACATGTAGCTAAATCCCTACATGTTTTCTGATAAACAAACTGTACACAATATACTCTTTTCATTCGTATTAATCAAAATTTGACCTTTGAACTATTCATACCACTTACTTTAATTGTGTTTTTCTACAAATGTATTGGAAATCATTTTATACGAAACAATACTCCCTATTAAATTTCTCTTGATGTAAACTACCATCATTTTAGCTTTTTATAAATTTTGCAAATGCATGATTAAATATATCAATGGTCAAAACTTTACGTCTGCAAATTAAACAAGAAAGTCCAAATATTGCAACTAAAGGGCTAAAAGCGTGCAGCTGGTTAGGGTTAAACTGAAGTACTTGAAGTTGTGTACACTTAAAATATTTATTCCCACCATCATCACCATCATCATCCATCCATGCATGTGGAATAATTAACTAATTCGATCACAATTATATGATACCATTGATCCATCAATATATATAATCTCTACTGGTTTCTGTAATCGCCGCAGTACCAATAAAGGTTAGGAGGCTGATCAAGAGAGAATATATTGCAAGATTCCTCTGTAAATAAACTGCCAATTTGATCTGCCTCCATCCTCACAAACTGAGGCTGCAGGTAAATTGAAGAGCTTTTGGTCATTAATGGCTGCTGCAAGTTGAAGCTGCTGTAACTATTGTCTAGTAGAACTTCATTATTGTTGTTCAGCCCTCCGCTTGAATCACTGTCCGATGACCCGTCTCCGCTGTTTCTCGGAGCCAGATAGTCGTGGTCGTGGTGGTGGTGGTGATGGCTCACTAGCAGGCAGGAATCTTCTCCGGCCGAGTGATTGTTTTCTTCCACAACAAGAAGCTTCTCTCTTAGCCCTTTAAGCTGAAAAAAAAGTGATGAATTTATCCTGGTTAAAGCCTAGAAGATCAATGGGCATTGGGCTCACTTTCATCTAAAAAAGGAACATTTTTATAAATGGGAAAATGACTGCGATATTACTTCCATGAATGACAGAGAGTCTCATGGAGTAAGGTTCGGATTCGAATCCAAACAAGAGAGAACTCCCTATTTTTAAAAAGTTTCGAAATTCTAAAATATGACTATAATGTTTTTTCTTTTCTGAATAGGAGTAAATTTCTGTCAAGTTTGACATTACTAGGCTTTAAACATGACATTTTCTTCCAAACTTGGCAGATTACTCTTATTCAGGGAATAAGAAACATGATACTCCTATTTTAGAATTTTAAAACGTTTTTGCTCCTATTTAGGGCAATTTCTATACAAACAACTACATCAAGAGGTTATTATTGAAAATGAAAAACGCCTCTAAGAATACTTGAAAATGTGTATCCTTTATTACTAATGTTGTTACTGACAATGATATTGAAAGTGATATTCAATACTCAATAGGGAATACTTAAGAATTTTAACAATTTCTTTTAGTAATATCTGTGACAAAAATAGCTTATTGTACATTTGTAGAAGATATTTTAAAGATTTTCTGTTGAAATTTATAGTATAAAGGAAACCGTTACAGGGGGAGAAATCTTTTGGCACAAAAAAGTAAAGCCGATTCGAATAATCCAATGTGGAAAATGGTAAGTAAAAGATGACAAAGAAAATACGGACTAGTTTTTATATTTGACTTTACAGCGGAAAAACGAACATTGTTGAAACTTTCTCAAATTTGACACAAACTTTTATATTGTATAATAATAATACAAATACGGAGTATAATTGAGTTCAACGAAATACTGAATTGTTTAATTGATCGCGTTGCATCACCAAAGTTACATCCAATATACTTTTTCCTCAATTTTCACTTCCTGACTTCCAAACCCAATATGCACTGTTTTTTCGGTATTTCCCCTGAAATATAGAATTTTTAAATGTTTCCAAGCCATTCACCAAATTTTACTATAATCCTCAATTTTCATTCCTTGTTACTCCCTCTGTCCCATAAAATTCTTCCCACTTTTCTTACTTCTTACAAGGCATCCTAAAAAATTCTCCCTACTTACCATTTTTGGATAATTTGTGTGGTTCACATTCATTTCACATTTTTCTTACATAATTACAATCATACATTTCCACTTTATCACACTTTCTTAATATGCGTTACAAGTCAAATTGAGAAGAATTTTCTGGAACAGAGGAAATATTTTGTAATTTACAAACTTATCCCTAACCAATTAAGAAAATTATTTTTCTTTATGAAAATTTCATCTTTAAAACTTTCCAAAATACAACTTCAGTCGTCTAAGAGAAGTAATATCATGTCAACTAGAAATAAATACTTGTGGTTTTATTTTTACATCATGTCGGTTACATTACATAGAATTGAGTGTGAACTCCAATTCCTTTCTCTCATTCAAAAAAGTAAATGATTCAATCATTGTGCTCAAAATTTGTCACTCTTATGGAACTTTAACTCCTCCATTTAAGTGCAAAAGTTGCAATTCCTCCTGCCCATTCACTATCATGTGATCAAGTGCATAGTACCAAACATAAAATTTTAACTAATCCAACCAAACAACACAAATTGAAACTCCTTCCCCATTTTCCCCCATAAGTTTCACTCCCAATTGTGAATAATTGGGAGTATTTGTTTAGAAGGAAGAAGTCATGTTTACAAAAATTCTAAATCAAGTTCAGGTATGAAACTTCGTATTACTTTTCTTATCAGGTTGACTTGTGAGGGAATTAGCGGGGAATAACGGGTTCATACCTCAGCAATTAGGTCTTCATTTTGCTGTTCAACTTTCTTGTAATCAATCTGAAGAGTTTCATAATTGGCTTTGAGAAGATTGAAATCTCTCTCCAGCTGCTTAGTCTTGTAACGGGCACGGCGGTTCTGGAACCAAATTGCGACCTGTCTGGGCTGAAGACCCAAATCTCTGGCGATCTTCACTTTCCGGTCCGGTTCAAGCTTGTTGTCAACTTCAAACACTTTCTCCAGTGCATGAACCTGTTCCACACTCAGCCTCCTCTTCTTCCCATTCATTCCCCCACTCTCTTCCAAGCAGTCATCTTCCTCCAACCCATCCAACATTGCCTGAAAATCACTGCTGTAAACCATCTCCTTTTCTGCACAAATTCAATTTAAACACTTCTCTGAGTTAAACGAGCAATTAGATAACTCTGAACTACTTCTCGAAAAAAGTAGAATGGGTTTCAAAAGATGAATGGGGTTAGATAAAATTAAGTACCTTGAGGGGGATAAAGCAAGCTGACAGAAGAATCACAAAAACTGAACCTCTTCATAAGTATTGCAGTATATACTTAGGAGAATAATCAAGAAAGGGGTGAGAGAGAATTGGGGTATGTGACAGTGAAAGGCTGGGGATGATGAAACGGGCTATAAAGGGGAAGGAGGAAGGCTAGGAAGGGCTAAAAGAGACAGTGTGGAGCGTAGAGTTACAGAAACAGCGAAGAAAGAAAAGGGAAATTGAATGAAATCAAAAGGTGTTGCTTTTCATCATTAACCAATCAATAAAATAGGAGGAGGAATAGTTAATTGGGAAGAAAAAAGAGGAACTTAAACTGGTATGGTTTTTCCTCGGAATTCTAGCCCCAAGGAATCCATCCATGTCCTGTATATCGAGGGGTAGATGAAAATTTTCCATTTAATATTAATATTAATATTATTATTTTATGTATGCTGCCCAGCTAGCTACTGCCCATCTTTTTCGTCTACAACTTTTCTTTATTATTGATGTGAAATGACTTTCTGCGTTTTTGACTTTTCTTCCTCTTTCTCTTTTCTTTTTCTATATTTTAGTATTATTCTGTGGGGTAGTTGAATTCCATTGTCCAATCCACAGTTTTTAAACTTTTAATTACAACTTCTAATTTACCACCTTCACACAGATTAAAAAAGTGAAGTTGACTTCACACTGTAACGACACTGTTTGGCAATGTAGCGACACTGTTTGGCACTATAGTGACACTGTTTTGCACTGTTTTGCACTGTTTGACACTGTTTTGTATAGATTTGTTTACCAAATAAGGAAATGATACAATTATTTCGGGACAGATCAAAAAGGAAAGCAGAACAATTATTTCGGGACGGAGGGAGTATATATTTATATATTTCACTAAAAAGTATTTCAGATCCTATTTTACTTGTTTTATCTTTCTTTTTCGGTAAAAAATATGTGATCCACAACATTTCATTTTGTTATTTCCTATCATTTTATTATTAATTGTATCGATTGACACATAAAATAAGGTGGGGGTAGTACTTCATAAGTACTACGTATTGAATATAATTCATTTTCTTACTTTTTTTTGTAAAAAGGAAAGAATTTTATTTTTCTTTGTATTGATTCACTACGTTAACTATTCCATATTGGATGTATTGTTTTAGTTTAACACTGTTATTAATAAGTAATTGAAAAGTTAATATCTTAATTGGGGTTCAGAATAGAATAAAATGAAATGATATATACTACTCCCTTCGTTCCATATTTATGTTCTGACTAACGAATGATACACAAATTAAGATAGTGAATTTTGTATGATAGAGAGTTGTGCAAATGAGAGAAAATTGTGTAAGAATGTGTAAGATGTTGTGAACCGCGAATTCTTATGTCAAAACGGGAAATATGGGATAATTTTGAGACGAACAAAAAAAGAAAATATGAAGAAATTTCTGGGACAAACGGGGTACATATTTGTTGCCCAAAAAATAGGACCTTCATTAAACTAGGGTAAGTTTTACTCCGTATTGTTTTAATGTATAAAATAAAATAAGAATATTGTACATGTCAGTAATGATATGTCTACTCTTCAGTCTACCCATAATACGGAGTAAGAAGTATCCAATGTACGCTTGAAATCATACGGAGTATCTTTTATTTTGAAAAGTAATAACCTGGCAGTAAAATGTTCCAATACTAATCCTCAAGTTAATACACGTATTAACTACGGAGTAATATCTAGGCACAATAATATTCAGAGCAATTACGTTGTACAGAGTAGTTTTTAGAGGTTCACTCAACCATTTTTAGCATTTGGTGGGGGTTGCCTACTATTGAGGTCAATGACTATTTCTAACATTCCCACATGGGGAAGCATCGGTCGGGTTCGGGTCGGGCAGCCGGGGGCAGTTTCACAAACACAAGACCCTCTCGACTTTAGGGTGGACAATATGTATATTTGATCTGTGTATAATTAAATAAAATAATGTCGGGATTTTAAATTTCGGGATTGGTTCAGGTTCGAATCGGGTTTCGGGTTGAATCGAATTGAAAAAACAGCATTCAAAAATGAAAATTACAAACACTTGCAAAGCTGCCGTCCAAACAATATTCAGAATTCACCATTTATAAATGTGTCAACTATCATAAACACGCTACGATTTGTGTACGCAATCCAAAACAGGCTTAACATTTAACAATTCAAATTACAATGTTATAAAACTTGTAAACCTCATCAAAAAATATTACAAGCTGACATTTAAAATCACAAATGGACAAAATTAGAACTTCCCACTTTCCAGCTTGAATATGCCAAAACTTGACTAGTTGATTACCTCCATACAAGATATAAGACATAAACAAGTATCAAATTCTTCAAAAGAATTGGAGTATACTCGGAAAATAATACTTCTAGCAAATATGCACTTATAGTTTACAAGGACCAAATGACTATACGAGATAATGAGATTGCTCAGAATGCTTATTATCATTCATAAAGGATAGGAGGCATCTGCTACCATTTCAGTTATAACTTATGAACTGAAAGAACAATCCAATCCTAGACCCCTTATATTCAGTAACAACTGGAAGCTTCATCATGGCCGGCCAGTTTAACTGATATATCGTATATCATAGCGATATGTTAATAATGTCATCAGAAAGTGAACATCACAATTCAATTCTATTTCATATAAACCCAAACTTAAGACAAGCTTAACAGCAGCATACCATTACAAGATGATTACTTCTTGAATAGTGAATACTTCATGCTCCACAATGAAGAATCCAGACCTCGGACCATCAAATTAACATATTTCATCCTGCTTAAGTAAAGTAAATTATAGAAGTAAAAACTCATAAACTGTTTAAGGTATGGCAATTTTAAAGAAGTTAAAAGGTTAGTGTCACGCCCTGAACCTCATCGGACACGCTAACAACCGCCGTAAAATCTAGATAAGTCAACCACGATCAAGCTTATCCAAATTATACAAGGCATCATGAATATTATTCACACATAAGTCATCAGTAAACAAACATAATAAGCAATTCAATACACAACGGAAAGCATAGTTTAAAATCAAATGCCACATGGGGCAAGCATGAGCACATAGACTCCAAAGTAAAAAGATGTCCATGAGCATGTTTATTATAGTTTAGAAAACAGAATGGATTAAAGCACGAACCAAGTCTTCTCTCCAAGTGATCACCCGAGCAATGGGTACAAGAAGAAAGTTATAGCTTCAACCTGAAATGATGGTGGGATTCCCCCAAAGGGGTCAGTACTTTCCTGAAATTATAAAGTACTAGTATGGATGACATCTAATAGATATACAACAAGTACTTCAAACACAAGACCCTCAAATAGGGTGATAGTATAATCTAGGTTGTAACCCTATGTTACCCCGTTTGAAAAATATACTTACTTTATATAAAGTCAAGTGGGTCGTGGGCCCATGTTCATTTTGAAATAACAATCCCTGTTCCCCGTGACTACTAGTCACGACAATCATAGAGTTCAACCCTAGTACATCATCTTGCATTCTTAGAGCTCGGCTCAAGTACATCATCATGCAAATCATAGAACCTAAATCTAATACTTCACCATGCATTTCTCAAAGCTCGTCTCAGTACATCACCATGCAAATCACAGAACCCGAATCTAATACTTCATCATGCATTTCTTAGACCTCGGCTCAAGTACATCACCATGCAAATCACAGAACTCGAATATAATACTTCACCATGCATTTCTTAGAGTTCGTCTCAGGTACATCATCATGCAAATCACAAAACCCAAATCTAATACTTCACCATGCATTTCTAAGCAAGTATTATGCCTAGAATCGACATATCGAATAAATCACTTTGGGTCATCCTCAAGGACTGACCATAGCTTGATCTTAGCTTCATATCATATAAATTTAGACACTTGAATTATATTCATGTTCACCACATACAATCCAAACCTTAAGATCAATTCTATTATTAACTACAAACAATCATTAACTAGAATCTCAATACTAGTAAAATTATTCCTATCAAATCAAATATTCATATATGTGAGTCCCAACATGTTTAGAGATGTGTGGTAGTAACTTAACTATCCAATTTCAATATATAAACATTCCTTTATATATCTGATGGATAGTGTACCCGGTGGGTAGCTTATCCGAGGGGTTATTTCGGGGAATAACTAGAGAGAAGTCAGAGCATTAAGTAGAGAGAGAAGATGTATTCAATATGTGAACTTGTGATCAAGTTGTCTTTTACGATGGGAAATGGGCTGCTATTTATAGCAGCAATAAATGCTAGACAGGTACACGTGTCAAGCATCTGACGGTCAAGGGTCACCTCATGATCAATCGGGGTGGCACCGGCTTTTGCATGTGACCGCATTAAATGCGGTGGTTGGATGTGACGTTGTACTTGGTACGGTGATCTAGGCACATGTGGGGAGGAGATTCTGTCGAGGAGGGTGCCTTCGGATGAAGGGTGTTGGGCCGAAGGCTCTCCTAACCAGGGGTCTTCTTGTGCCGAGGGTTGTATATGCCGAAGGCTCGGTTTTCACGTCTTGTTCTCCTGTGATGTTTCTGAGCTCGCTTCTGTCAACGGTAGCCTTCGTCTCCATAGCGTAATGTGGGCTGCTTAGAGCTTCATTTCGTTGGGCTTGGCCCGTTTTGGGCCTGTTGGACCTGATTGCAGTAGTGGGAGTACGTGGGTCGGGGGTCCCTGGGCCATATACTCCATCAGGAGTCCCTCACTCCTTTTGCCAAAAGGTACTTGAGGGAAAAGGAGTAAATGTGTTTGTCCTCTGATGCTGGCGTTTGCTTCGTTGCTGTTTGTAGAGTTGTGAGGGGTTTGCGTTGCCTGTCTTCCTGAGGGCAGTCCCTCAGTCCCCCACATTTTGGGGCTGAAGGATGTTGATGCTCTGGGAGAACTTTTAACATTTTGTGATTTTCCTGAAGGGGTTCCCCAGTCCCCCACTCCTTAAGGCACATGTAATGAGGTGAAAAAGGAGTAAAGCAGTGCCTGCCTCCAATATAGGGTCGAGGGCTCACGCTTTTCGTTACATTTTGGGAGATGCCTCATTAAAAACCTTATTAGGAAAAACCCTGTGGGAAAAATCCTAATGAGGAAAAAAAAGTGCACCGAATTCCCCCAATGATGAATCGAAAAGGTGAACCCTTGGTCTGAGATGAAGGGCAACGTTGATGTCGAGAGGTGTCCGTGATTCAAGGGCATTTTTCTTGGTTAGCCGAAGGCTATCTGTTTATATTCCGAGGGACGCCGAGGGGGTTCCCTCAGTTATTGGGCTGAGGGCGTGAAGTCATAAGTGATAGTTCTGGTGTTGCCGAGGGCTTCTCTGGTCCTCGATATATTGAGGGCTTAGGGTTCCTGGGGGGTATCTATGTTTGTGGTGGGGGCT